AAAGTCAGTTCGTACAGACTAACTGCACCCAAAAATATGAAATCTGAAGGGGTTTTACAGAGAGAGAGAGAGAGAGAGAGAGAGAGAGAGAGAGAGAGAGGAGGCACAAGCAAGAAGAAAAGGAAGAGAGCTCTCTTGCCACCAGACTCTTGGACTTCTACCTGACGTCGGATTTTCGCCAGTCGTCGAATTTCTACCAAACGTCAGACTTCTGCCCTTCACCGGATTTCAGCCCATCACCGAACTTTCGTCGGACTTCAACCTGAAGCTGAACTTACGTTTGTCGCCGAACTTCTACCTAACGTCGAACTTCTGTTCGTCGTCAGACTTTAACTCGACACCAAACTTCCACCCATTACCAAACTTTTGTCCGCCATTAGACTTTCATCGGACTTCTATCTGATGCTGGACTTCCGTCAGTCGCCAAATTTTTACCAGACACCAAACTTCTACCTGTCAACAGAGCCCTTATGATCTCCTTCACCAGACAACGGTTTTTCTGACTACTATCACCTGTCGACTACGCCCTTCTAACATCGGTTGTCTGACAACAATCTTTCAAGCTAGTATAGCACGTTGACTACAGTCCTTCCAACATTCATAGAAAAATTGCGATCTTTTTTACCTTCGTCGTCAGACAACGGTCTTTTATGATCACTATCGCCCGTCGACTACGGTCCCTCCAACCACCACCACTAGAATACGGTCTCCGAACTGTGTTGCCCGCCGACTATGGTTCTACTGACCAAACAGATATATCCATAGTGATTCTTTCAAGTCCCATCATGTAACGCATGCTATATGATGTATATTTGTTACATCAAGTTAAGGCCTTCCCCAAGGAAGGGCCTTATTTGTACTCGACTGTAAATAATAGTGGATTCATTCAAGCTAGGTCAGACCCCGTGTGTTTTCCCCTTTTTTAGAGTTTTCCACGTAAAAATCTTGGTGTCCCTTATGAATGCTACACCCTCTTTTTTTATTTGTATATATATTGGATCTTCGTACAAAACTAAGACATTAAAATTTATATTTCCCTACCGCCGCGAATATATATTGAATAGCTTAGTATTTCCCGTTACCTTTCCTCCTAAATTTTGTAGAAGGAAATATCAGCTCAATCATATATATTAGCATATATTTCTCTCTCATTATCACAGATTGTTGATTGTTTGGAGTTAAAAAATGTTCATTATCAATGGCTTCAATGTACACAGCAAAATTAATTGTGCCAACTAAGGAAATACCTTTCAAGCAAAGCCCCCTATCCTTATGTGAGTCAAAAAACACTAAGTACTAGACTTTCTCCCCGGAGAAAAGATGTCACAAACTACAGATATATTCTCTCGTTGATGAATTCATGATTTCTTTTTATGAAATTACTAAAGTCTCTTTTGAGACGATTTTCTTATAGCTTCTTAAAATAATTTTTTATTATAAAAATTAAAAATTTATACTACAAAGTTATTTTAAAAGTAGCAAGAAATTCGCCCCAAACAAAGCCTAACACTATTAAGAGGTATGAGTTGTTTTTGAATTACACCCCAAAAAATCTAATAAAGAAAAAAAAAACTACTTTCTTCTAAAGCAAAATTTCAAAATGCCAACAACACGTGAAGAGCACATTGGCTGTTGAAAGGGAGGCGAACTCGTGATCACACATCTGCCACATTTTTGTGATGGAAGAATTATCACAAGCAAAAATAGTAAAATCTATTAAATCCCAAAAAACATTATTCATATCTCCTAATTTCTACCTCCTACAACATTATATATAAGTTACTAATAAAATTTTCTAGAAATATCTAGAAAACATGTACAAAATAGGTAAATTACTCTAAGGGCCTATTTTAACTAATATGCTCTGCATTATTCTATATATTGAAAAATATAAGAGACATCTTTACCTCATAATTGAAAAAAAAAGAGATTATCTATAGTACAATTATATGATTCTCATTATAGATATTAAAAAAATAAAATGTTCACAAGCAAACATTAAAATCCCAATGGTGTTGTAATATATTAATAGTCAAAAGAGTTGAAAGGGAGGCGAACTCGTGATCACACATCTGCCACATTTTTGTGATGGAAGCTTTAGATGGACAATTTTAACTTTATCAACAAACATATATTTGCCACAACACAACATACTGCGCGGGTCGCAAGTTCTTTAGCAAAAATTTATCACAAATTAGTTATATTCTAATGACAGTATGATTGGAAGATTTAAAACTTTTAGTCATAGACATAACACTTCACAGTTCAAATATATGGTTATATATAATAATAAATATTGCTATGTGCTAAAAAATTTATAATGACGAAATATATATGTATTTTAGATCTTAACTTTGAACAAAAAATCCAGTACACATAATAAAATCATAAGAGATCAGAATTGTTTATGTGACATGACTTAGTTGCAATAATTTACTATATATGATAGAGAGAGATCATTGAAGAATTATCATAAGCAATTGCTCCTAAGAGCAAGAATACCCAAAGAATAGTAAAATCTATTAAATCCCAAAAATATTATTCATATCTCCTCATTTCTACCTCCTACAATATTATATATAATTTACTAATAAAATTTTCTAGAAACCTCTAGAAAACATGTACAAAATAGGTAAATTACTCATAAGGCCTATTTTAACTAATATGCTATGCATCATACAATATATTGAAAAGTATAAGAGACATATCTACCTTGTAACTGGAAAAAAAGAGATTATTTATAGTACAATTATATGATTCTCATTATAGATATTAAAAAAAAAAAATGTTCACAAGCAAACATTAAAATCCCAATAGTGTTGTAATATATTAATAGTCAAAAGACGATAGTTGGATGACAGAAGTCCGATGATGATTGTGACAATTACTAAAGGTGGTCGTTAACAATGATCACCAGAAAGTGTAGTGGAATTTTTTAGCTCTTTCAACTCTTAAATCTCCCTCTCATTTAGAGAACGGGTCTTATTTATAGCATATTTTAGAGAATTGTTTTTACAAATTAGCCAAAATTCAAAACCATTCATTCAAAACAATTCATCTATATTGATCTCCTTGATCTTAGATCATTTATCAATTGTCTAAGTGCCTTAATGAGGGTTAGTTAGATTTATCTTGTGAGATGATATCCATTTATAAAAATGCAAGAATTAGTGGTAATTTGGTTCATTAAATAATGTTCATGAGTTTTCAAATATGTTTCATGTGACTGATTTGAACTCATTTGGAGTCGGATCAGATCACTTATAGTGTTGATAAATTCCTATTGTCAATGCGTTCAGCTTAACTAAAAATTTGTTCAAATCAAATTTGGGTGGTTCAACCCTCAAAGTTTTTAATTCAAATATTATGTTGAGATTCATGCAGATCATGTTATGAGACGTATCAAATATAGATTTTGATCTCATGATTTTGTAAAATATGATGATTGTTGAAAGCTCTTGTATTATTGATAGATTCGTTACGTCAATATATTTTAGTTTGACTAGTATCCTGAAATTAGAATTAGGATAGTTCTGAATTTAATTTTGAAAGTTTTCAATTCAAATATTACGTGACATTCTTGCAAATCATATGAATTTTCTTAAATATAAATTTTGATCACATATTTTTCTAAAATATTATGATGGATGAGAATTCTATAAATTTCTTTTGAATTGCAGGATATTTATAGTTTCTTTTCTGACATTGTACACTGTCAAGGGTAGAACCAAAAAGAGCTCAAGGTGTGCAATTTTCCACCTTAAATTTTTTTTTTCCTGAGCATTCATTGTAAATTGTAATAGATAGCAGAGCGCGGTGGTGTTGTAGATTCGGCGTTGCAATACTGTGGAGTGCTGAAGCGCTGTGGGTTTGAACGTCACAGCATCATATTGATAGAGACTTGAGCGCTGCAACATTTCAAATTGACAATGCAGTGCTGAGGCTGACAGGAGAGTTTTTCTTTCTTGTTTTTCTCAAGGGTGGCATCCCTTGGTGTTATTATATTTACTTTCTTTTTTGTTTAGAGAGTGAGAAATGTGTAAGAGAGTAGAGAAGCAATAAGAGAGAGAGAGAAGATAGATATGTACTTATTTCTTCCAGTTTTTATAGTGGATTTCATGATGTGTGTGTGTGTGTCTATAATTTTTTCCCCAATTTCATGTTTTTCCACGTTAATTCTGCTATCCTTTACTTTCCGCTGCTTCTATTTTTTTATTTGTTTCATCACGTGGTTTACCTATATCTAAACATAAAACGACATGTATAGATCGTTCGAAATTCTTTGAATATTTTAGCGCAAATGATATCAAAACTAAAGGATCTTGCGCTAGTAAATTCTTCTAATCGAAATATTTATTTATATCGCATGAATACAAAAATTGAAAGTCATTTGATCCTTCAAACATCTCAAGAATTTTTAAAACAATATTTTAAAGATTACATCAAAATTCACAGCGACACAAAAATTCTTGGTAACATAACAATTGAAAAAAAAAAAAATTATGTGTAATTCATAATTACATTCCTCTTAAACTCTGTTAACTTTAGCTGCGAATTATATAAATTTTCTGCTAATTTTCCCATAAAAAAAATGAAAGTAAAACTGATCTTCAAATTTACACAAATAAAATATTAGATACAAAAAGTGACAAATCCAATGTGTTGTAGCAGCACCCTTTCCAAGATTTCTTAAAGATTTTTGCCTGTAATGTCCATCAAATTCCATTTTTAAATCGCCTCCATGTGGACTCCTTCCATGGTGGAAAACCTGTGTTGCATAACAAGGAACCGAGGTGGGAACCGTCGAAACGAGCAAGCAACCAGGCGAGCCCAGTCGCCCAGGCCTTTTCTGATTCCCACGTCATACTCGATCGGCCCCACCTTCAAGGTCGTCGCAAGCGGTGTTTCACCTCATCAGGACACTTCTGTCTTCATATATAGAGCAATTCGCCGCAAGGATTCCAAGCAACTTGTAACGCCTTCAGCCTTCCTCAAGAAGACTATTAGCTCTTTCTTTTGAGCTAATAACGAACGAAAAGAGGAGAAAAGAAGAAATTAAGGTCATGGAAAAGAACGGATCTGAGCTGGACTTGCCGGGATTTAGGTTCCATCCGACGGAGGAGGAGTTGCTTGAGTTTTATCTCCGGCGAGCCACTGCCGGAAAGAAGCTAAACTTTGACATTATTGGAACTCTTAATCTCTATTTATATGATCCTTGGGACCTCCCTGGTATGTCTTTAACACTTCTTTATAAGTTCTATAGATAGATATATATGTTCTTATCTTATGGTTGCGGTTTGGTCATTGGATTTGCAGCTCTGGCGAAGATGGGGGAGAGAGAGTGGTATTTTTTTGTGCCGAGAGACCGGCGGCAGGCGAACGGTGGGCGGCCTAATCGTACAACGGAGCGTGGCTTCTGGAAGGCCACCGGCTCAGACCGGCCCATTCGTAGTGCTGCCAATCCCCGGCGTCTCATTGGCCTCAAGAAAACTCTGGTTTTTTACCGCGGCCGCGCTCCTCACGGCAACAAGACGGATTGGGTCATGAATGAGTACCGGCTCCCTGATGTCCTCCCATTCCCAACCTCTTTGTCCGTTCCTCAGCCTCCTAAGGTATGAACAAAATTCTATATTATTCTATACTTATTGTAATTTTAAAATAATTAATGAGAGAAAATTATTTATTTTAAAAATAACAAATTTTGATTTTGTGAACAGGAAGATATTGTTCTATGCAAGATTTATCGAAAGGCTACGTCGCAGAAGGAGCTGGAACAGCGAGCGGCAATGGAGGCAAGCAGAGCCTCGCAGGGATGCACAGTATCGGCGACCTCGTCTGACCAAGAGAACTTGCAGAAGATTTCATTTGACAATAATGAAGTGATCATGGATATGAAGGTGGAGTTCGAGTTGCCGCCATTTGAGTTTAATAAAGAGGTGGCTGAGGTGTCTTCGGCCGAAACCCAACCGCCGATTATGCCTCTGCTCGAATCGTCGGCGGATATCGAATGGTCGGCTCTTCAACCAGAGCCGTCAGTCATGCGTCCACCAGCAAGCCCGGCGTCGAAAACCCCGGCGGTCCGGCAGCTGCCGAGCCTGCCGGCGCTTCAAGTTCCCAACCACATGAGCTTCGACTTGGTGCAGGACTCTTTCCTGAGCCAGCTACGGAGTCCGTGGCTTGACCAGTGGTCGCCATTATACGCAAGTTTGCTCAACTTTTGAACGCGCAAGAATTCTGGCTAAAGGTCCATCTGTACATATTCGAAGAAGCCGTTCGATCTGCGAGGTCTTGTGAGGATTTGTTGATATGTGTGCATATGACATTGTTTGGTTAATGGTGCTGTAAAACTGCGTTTCTGAAAAGAAGGCTATGCGTTCTCTCTTATGGGATCGCCTGTGAATGTTCATTGCCTTAGTTTTTTGTTTGTTTAATTTTGGTCGAATTGTATCTTATATGTGCACCCATTGGATGCAATATGTTCATTATTTGTATAAATAAAATTTAATTATTTGTAATGTTAATTAGCTTACTTAAATTATATTTATATATGCTAATATGTTTTCTTTGAATGATTAAACTAACTTCTAAAAAAATAACTTTTCAAAACATATTTAGGCGTCATTTGACACACTTTCTTATTGCTTTTAAAAATAATTGTTTTAAAAAATAGTAAAAAAATTGTCTCAAATGAATTCTTAAATCCATGATATTGATTTGATGGGATGTTGCATCATTCCATGCTAAGGAATTTTTAATAAAAATTAAAATTCTTTCGTTATGAAGCACGGGCATGAGCTCGCGCGTGCAGCCTGGTGGTTGACGTGAAGGACTTCCTCCCGCGAGACTCACGTTCGAGCCCCTAACGTCCCAAAAAAAAAAGCACGGGCATCATGTCAAAGTAATATGTATTATGAGTGGTAGTTCCAAAGAAAAACCTTCTCAAGTTCATAGACGTTTATATCATTTTGTGTGATATAATATAATTTGTTACAAAAATAAAAATTTATTTGTATTTAGCGGGTAACACACTGACACAGTCATCTGTAATAATTTAAGAAACATTTTCATATTACTATCTCCCTCAATATTAAAATATTAGATCCATCCTCATGCATTATCTTCCTAAATGTGACAAGTATTAATTAAAGTGCATTCCATACTGGTTGGCTTTTTTCCTTAAGTAATTCTGAGAGAATATTATGTGCGGAGATCGGTCATAGAGAACCATTCAGTTTTGTCTCCGTGAACAGCAAAAGCGCAATAAACTATTCATAGAGACAAATCAGATAGTTCTCTATGTTTGATTTCCGCACGTAATAATTTCTCCAGGATTATTCATAGATAGAGATCAATCACACAGATAAACAATGGTAAAAGTATAATCAGCTTGCATTATATTTGAAATTCGGTCGAAAACAATTGAATTTTAAATGCATAAAAAATAAGCAATGAATACATTTAAAATTCTTCAAAATTTAACTATGCATTCTTTTTTCATCAAACCAAATATCAAAATTCTTAAAGCCCTTATAGTTACAATGGTTTACTATCACTTTTCATCCAACCAAACAATCTCATAATTGATGAGAAACAATTGTCAATCATACCGTCAATGAAAATAAAATAAACTAAAAACAGAAAACTGTTCTATACATTGTTATTATTATTATTTTCTTAAACGATAGAGTCAATGCCTCTCAATTTTTTTTTTCTTTGGTTGCAATAAAAAAATGTTTCCAGAGAGCAAGAAACTCTTGCATGCAGGGAACATATGAAGTAGATACCAAGCTTACACTTGTCCTGATGATTCCCAGCTAATTAAGCCACTTCATATAAAATAATTGTCATTTGAAGGATGTTAGGTAGTTACATATCAATTGTCTTACGTTATCTAATTTTGCAACTTGCTCAAATCGGATTTTTCGCAACACATGTTAGTAGCGGATTTAAACCCGTAGTCAAAACACCATTTTTTGCATCGGTCGTAAAACCGCTGTTGAATGTCGTTGCAGCGCATAATAATTACAGCGTATTTGTAGCGGTTTAGAAACCGCTGCAAAGAAAATTGTGGCGGTTAAACCCACCACGATAGCTCAAAATTTATGCTGCGATTACCTTATTTTTTGGTAGCGCATATTATGTGACCTAAGGCAATTATCTACCTTAAGTACGTATCGCTGTATACTCATTAAGGTTTCGTTTGGTACGGTTTTCTTACTGTTTTTTTAAATAATTTTTTGGTACAAAATTTTTAAACTAAAATTTTTTATACTAGAAAGTTGTTTGAGACAGCTTTTAACCACTATTTTTTTTTATACTTTCAAGATATTTATACTAAAATGCCATTTTATAAAGCAGCAAGAAAGTCATCCCAAACAAAATCTAAATAGTTGCAGCAAATACATGACAGCTAGATGTTAGGACAATTAAACATGTTTGAAACGTCAAAAATAAGGAAAAAAGTTGAGGATGAAAGGAAACCTGTAAAATATTAACCTATGTGATTTAGTTGGGGAGATTAATTTGCTTACGTCTATGACTAACACTTCACTAGAATAGAGAATGGTATATCAAAATTGTCCAAGTCCTCTAAACATTAGGAGAAAAAAAATTAAGGAAAGGAGGTTTGAAAGAAAAGATATAAAGGACAAAACTTGTATTGCTTCCCTCTTTACAACAATATATATTATATTCAACTAAAACAGCATGCTTTTATTTCAATTCAAAATTAAATAATTATAATTAATAAAATTGACACATAAAAAGAAGACAAAATGACAAGAAAAAGAAAGAGGAAGATGAAGATATAGTAAAACATGGGCTTTTCACATGAATTTTCTTTTTGCCCCTATTATCACACTTGCTAATATTTTGAAAGTAGAAATCAGGTTCTCCTGTCGAATCATCTTCATCATATCTAATAACCAAAGTGGCGAAGGAGAGTAGGCACATATCATGTTGAAATGGCTAAGATTTTGTTTGGGATGTCTTTTTTATTACTTCTTAAAACAGTTTTCTAGTTAAAAAATTAAAAATTTTTTTACTAGAAAGCTGCTTTAAAAAGCAATAAGAAATCCATCCAAAACAAAGCCTAAGTGTATGTAGAGCCATTGAGGCATGAATGGACTTCAGCCTTTCTTCAACACTACTTGTACGTACGTATGAAGATGACGTTAGAGATGCTTCAACCCTCAATATTGACTCGGACATATAGCGCTATTATTGGTAATAAAATCATGCAACAATTAAAAAAAAAAAACAAGAAAAAGGAAATAGAGGTAAAGAATACGAGGATTTAATGTGGAAAAATTCAAAATTGTAAAAAAAAAAAAAATCATACAAAGAAATCCACTTAGAAAATGGAAAAAATTGCACAAATCTCTATTCTCACACTCTCTTCCTGTCCATCTTCACTTATCACATCTTTCTACACTCAAAACAAACAAAAAGAAGCATTACAATATATCAAAGGATGCAAACCTTCAAGTGAAATAACAACAACCATTCATCCTAGCACTGCGGTGCTAGAACTACAACGCGACGTTATGCTCTCGATCTATCTCAGGGGAGTTTCACAATGTCTTGGCACTATATTTAGAGCACAGCGATGGTTTAAGGACAATAAATTTTTTTTAAGAGTTTTGCCTCTAAAACCTCAAGCAAGGGGTGTGTTGCCCTTTTGCGACCCCCCAACGAGCTCTTCGTTTAGCTTGACTGAAAAATTGAGGTCTGAGTCAACAGTACAATCCAATTGAGTGACAGAATCTAATTCAACCCAAAACTAAAATCAATATTTGTCTGTGGTGAGAAAGATTCTTCAATATTAGAGATAATTGATTATTGTTGGACAATTTTCTTGGAAAATTTTATGCAAATATAACTCACATGCCCGAGCAATTGGCAATGAGAACTGAAGCTCAACTTTTTATTACCCGGAAAGAAGATTATTTCTATTGAATCATATACTTTCTAATTTATTACTTATTAATTAAAAATAAAATAATAAGCTAGCAATAATGAATAATTAATTAAAGAACTAAGAATAGTATCAATCATGTTACCCAAATTCCTTCTTTTTTTTTTTTAATTCGAAGTGTATATAATATAATTGACTTCATTTGAAGGCTCATTAATTTGGTTGCTCGTAAGTTGAATATATTTTTTTCTTTTCATTAAAAAAAATTAGGTTTGAATATTTTGATCAAAATTTAATTATAATAAATGTCAACATTTTTTAATATATTTTGAAATAAATGTAAAATAATATATGATTATTTATTTTCCATGCATTGCATAAATTTCAAAACAAATTCAAATATATTAAAATTATCATGACCAAATTAAAATTTCATTTAATTTTTTTACACAGATAATAATTTTTTTTCACTGATATCACTTATTTAAGACTCAAACTCAAAATATTCTAGTTGAAAGTCTAAGTTTCCTATCAAGATAAATACGTGGAAATGAAAATTTATCCCCAATAAACTGTTCTAGAAAGTGTTTTTTTTTCTTAGTAGGGTGCAGTATATGACTTTCTAATATTTTTTCCTTACAATAAAAAAAAAAGTTCCCAGAGAGAGAGAAACTCTTGCAGGTTGAAAACATAAGAAATACATGTCGAGCTTACACTTGCCTGCTGCTGCTTCACAGCTAATATTTAAGTCGTAGCCATCGTATGACTTATCTTATTTAATTTTGCAGCAGCAGCGACTTAGTTGCAGCAAATACAAGACAGCTAGCTGCCGGGTACAATTAAACATGTTTGAGACATTGAAACAATAGTAAAAAGCATCTGTGAGGTAATAATATTAAAAAAAATGTAAGGAAAGCTATAGAAAAATGGTTTATGTGATTTGGCAAGATTAACTTGCTTAAGCCTGTTGCTATACATAGAAAATACACAACAGATATCGGGTCTGCGGCAGAGTGGTTGACGAAAGAAATTCCTTCCATCTCATCCGAGCTCGAATCCCATAACTGTCCCAAAAAAAAAAAATACAGAACAATACACAACAGAAGAAATAATGAATAAACACAAATAAGAAAGAAAAAATGCAACGAGAAAGAATGAACACTAGGATTTATTCTGAAAAACTCAAAACCTGAAAAAATCAAGGAGCCACACACCACCAAGAAATTCACTATGAAAAATAGGGAGAAAAAATAGAGATCATCTATCTTCTCTCTCACTCTCTCCTTGGCTCTCTTCACTCCTGCACTGTTTTTAACTTGAACAAACAAAGAGTAAAACACAAAAACCACCAAGTGTGCAACCCTTTGTAAGAAACGAGAAAAAAAAACTGCTAGCCTATTTCACAACATCATGGGGCTAGATCAAATTGATAGCACTGTAGCACCAGGGTTTGGAGCGTCATAGTGCTCTGCTATCTGGTTACCTCTAACCATACAATATAGCAGCACAGTGTTGTATGGTTGTACCAAAAAAAAAAGGACCCAAGCAAAGGGATGATCCCCTACAACCCCCTGGGTTAGCTAGACCGATGGATTTGAGGTCAAAGGCAACAATATTACCCAATTGATCAACATAATCATATTCCACACTAAACAAGCACTAAATATTAGGAGAAGAAAAAAAAAAGCTTAATTAACATAATTAATCGGAAAAATACTAAGGACATTGAGCTGTATCTATTTAATAGAAAATTCAGTTGATTAAACATGAATCTAGATGCATATTAAATTTAAATTTCAAAATTAAGTTTATAATTTTTTGATTTCTTATTTTATCAAACTTATAGTATGAGAAGAATTTAACAAAATTAAAAGTGATCTACTTTGACTCCAAATTAGCTAAAATAAAATAATTTAAGTATTGTTGAAAACTTAATGTAGTTAATTGGAGAATCAAATTATCTACAAATATTATATACTTATATTTAAATTGAACATATTAATGAGAAGAATCCAACAAGTCCAAATTTGATTAATTTGGAGATCATTAAAGAACTCAAATATTCAAATAAATACCTTCTAATTATGTGGACTACTTTGGGTTGTTCGATGGGTTGTTTTGGAATTTAACTATTTATAGAGAATGATAATTATTTATAGAGAATGACACTCTAAAGGACATTGTTTGAGATTTCAGAGAGTTCATAGATTTGAAGAATTTTAGATCTTTGTCCAATCATTATTGTTGAACCATTGTTATTTAATCACCTCATCACCACCACCAAATTGCCATCATTCTATCACTTTGGTCAAACCGTCGACATCAAACACCACTTACCGCTACTATTGGCCGACTGCCACCGCCTAAATATTATTGTAGAACCATCACAGTCAAATCATCACCAGCCGACCACTCAATCTAATCAGCACTATTGGACCACTACACGACCACAATCATTGAACCATCACTAATCGACTAGCTCCATCAGATCATTGTTGCCCATACCACTACCATCAGACCACAGCCACCCAACGACCACTATTGGACTATCTCTCGACCCTCATTGTTGGACAACTAGGGGTCCATCGTTGCCTAATTACAAAATCCATCAAACTGCATGCATTTGGCTATAATTATCAGAATGCTTCTCATCTCTTAATTTCTTCTGAATTTCTCCATCTTTCTCTCATAGGAGGCCAACCATATTTTTTGCAAGTTAACCTTCTTTGATTCAGGAGATGGAAAACCTTTATAATCTACCCTACTTAACAAAATTATTTCAATTGGATTAGGCCTAATAATTTTGTCCTTTTTAAATCTTCCAAATGAAAACTCCCATGTCTCTTATATTATCTAATTTATATAAAATTAGCATGCCACAATTTAATATTACATTTGACTGTAGCACTATTACGATTGTGTGTAGAACCATCGCACTTAACAACAATATTACCAGACTTCACCATCTTGTAAATACCATTCTTTGACTCAATAAGAATATCTTAATGATTGAGATGATTTCACAATTTGAATAAGTTCCCTTTAGAAAGAAAAAATGTTATCTTCTTTTAGCAGAGGAGTTCAGAGTTTACAAAATAAATAGTTATTTGGGCTTATGAGAGAGTTTGAGATTTGAGATACTCGTACGAATCGATTAAGGCTTCGTTTGGGATGGCTTTCTTACAACTTCTTAAAGTCGCTTTTCAGTACAAATATTTTAATTTTTGTACTATAAAGCCACTTTAAGAAGCAAGAAGAAAGTCTTCCCAAACGAAGCCTAAATTCCTCATTAGGGAGAATGCTACCTTCTTTTAAAACGAGGAGTTTGATTTTTCAATGTTATATATTATTTCAATTTTCTTCATAGAGGTACTCACATAATTAAGGACCAAACTCAATATATAATATGTACCAGCCGATTAAACATAAGTCTATTTGGTTCAAATTAAATCAAGCTCATTCAAGCCAAGTTAACAAGATCTACTCGAAGTCGTACTCGATGGGCTGCAATTGAACAATCCTCAAGCAGGCTACCATGATGTAAGAGTTCTTTTCAATTGACTACTAAAGCTTAAAAATCAGTCATATCGATTATTGTTTATGAAGTCAACCCTCGTGATTATTAAATGCGCGGGTGGATCTTGAGTGGGGGCACAGGTCACCACTAGTTCTCTGTTTCATAAAGTAACTCTCATCCGCTTTGTCATAGGCTATAACCAAATAAAAAATTATTTACTTTATTATACTTAAATAATCATAAAATTTTATGAAACTATTCCTGCTTTATTGATCATTTTTGTAGAAATTTTTAAGGAATAATAATAATTTTATTCGTAAATATTACATTAGAAAAATTCAAAAGTTACATCAAGATATAAATTTCCTTTTTAATAAGTATAATATGACAAATGGTTTTACTTGTTTTAATTATATTTCACACTAAGTGTGTAAACGAGTTAAGCCAAATTTGAGTGAAAGCTGATTCGAGCTCAACTCGTCACAATAATAACACAGTCTTGGATTTGGCTCATGAGCACGTGGTCCCCAAAATCTCAAAACCCTTAAGACAAGGGTTTCTTGGTATTAATGGGAGGTCATTTGAGATGATATGAATGGAAATTCATGACAGAAGCGCGGAAGTTGCTATGGTAACTCGCTAGAGAAGGCATTGATAGTGGCATGCAAGTCACAGTCGGAGCTCGTTGAAGAAGACATTGACAACATCAATGACGTTTGAGGAAGAAGAGTTTGTTAGAATTAAAGGATTTAAGTTCAACACCCTAAATGGAATGGTAGGGAAGAAATAGCTAGAATTATAAATACGAATTTCATTGAGCCGGCCTGCAAGCCAATAAGCCAAGCATCATCAAATTCAAGCTCGACGTATAGTAAGGGTTCATTTGAGACAAATTTTTTTTTCTGCTATATAAAGTAGTTTTTAGTGTAAAATCTTTTAAACATGAATTTTTTTATTAAAAAGCTGCTTTAAAAAATATTTTAAAAAAACATCTCAAATGAAACATATTCTTTCGGGACAACTTTCTTACTGCTTTTTAAAACAATTTTTTAGTACAAAAATTTTTAGGGCAAGAAAGCCTTCCCAAATGAAGTCTAAGGTTTTGTTTGAGACAGCTTTTGTACTGCTTCATAAAATGACTTTTTAATATAAAATTTTCTAATTCAATAAATTTTTATACTAGAAAACTGTTTTAGAAAGCAACAAAAAAACTGTCCCAACCAAACCTAAGTCTGGATCAACCACGTCCACTTACACCCCTACTTCACATTTAGCCAAGCTTATTCATAATATAAGCATATACTAAATAAATGAAATGTAGAATTGGAGGGCTGTGGTCACCCAAAGTCGTGAGCATTGGCGTCAGCATCCACGTACTGACCGACCAAAACTAAAGTTTCTTGACCATAGCACTGGCTTTTATAAAGGAAACTTAAAAGCACGAACGCATGCCATGGTAGCTCATGGCGAAGGAAATTGCTTCGAGATGTACCGGCACTTTATGAGAAATTCCGACGAAAATTAGCTTGGGCTTTTTGATGCCTTATGTTTTGCACTACTTCTAAGCCTCTCAGATGCAAAAGAATTGAAATGAATCTACGACCGGGCATATTTTTAAAATAGTTACCGTTAAATAATAAATTATTTAATTTATCATAGCTATCTATTGAACAGGCAATTAGCTTTAGAAGCGTTCAAAAATGCAGTCAAAAGCTGGCATAATAGCTCTCACAGGGTTTTGGCTTTGCAGAGTTAGTCGGGTGACTTGCTACAGTAAATTGCGATATTAAATCCCCGGCTGATATGATTCGTTCCATTCATTCATGAGCTCGTAAATCACGCATTTCGAATGATTTCTTGATTTTATAAATTAGTCTATGTACTTTAATAATTTATTTATAAAAAAATTCTTAATTAGCATGTATTATTTTGCTCAAATCATTTAAATCTTGTATCTGTTATAGTATAAAACTTGTTGTTTAGGGGATTTCATATTAAGCTTATAGGATTTATTTTTTTGTTTTTTCATGTTAATTATGTTCAGTGAGGAAACAAGAATATAGTATATTAGTGTTTAGGGTTAGATTATATTTTTTTTAGGATAAATCTTGCCACTTTTAGTTAGTGAGATCGTATACTAATAAATTAGGCTTCTGCATCACATTTTCTAACCTACAGCAGCGGTTTAAACCGCTACAAAATTATTCGCAGCGGTTTATAAACCGCTGCACATCCGCCGCATCTGCTTTCGCTGGTAAGGCTTTAGCAGCGGTTTTGTAAGCGCTGCTGTAGAAAGGCTATACCAGCGGTTGGGAAGCGCTGCTGTAGAGATGCTATAGCAGCGGTTTGGAAGCGTAGCTATAGAGATGCTACAGCAGCTGTTTGGAAGCGCTGCTGCAGGAAAGCTATAACATCATTGTTAGCAGGTGTTAAAACCGCTGCTAAAGGGTATGAGCAATTAAAAAAAATTAAATGCAAAAGAAATCATTTTTTATGATTAAATAATACATAAACAATATCAAAATTGATTCTTCAACATATATAGAATTAAATGAATACAACTAGTTCTCAGTGGCTAATACAAAGACTTAAAATATACAGCAGTGAATACACAAAAAATATATATATATTCACTAGCAACCACAACAGCTCATGTGATCCAACTCTCTTCGTCAGTCCCTCGTCTAGCAATCACTTGTTCAATCCTAAACCCTTGCTTGATTAACCTGAAAAAGAAAAGAAATATAAGCTTATATTAACTACTAAGTATATTATAATTTTATAAATAGAGAACTGTACAACATGCACTTATGTATCCATGTGATTAGAAGAAGAGAATGGAAAAAGAGGCAACCTGCAGAAAAAAGTAACCATTGCCAACAATACCGAAAGTGATGGGATGCCAAACAATACCGGAAAGAAAGGTCAGCACATAAGAATCATGCATTACAGAAATGAAGGGAAAGATAAGGAAAGAAAACATGGGATATTACCAAATGCGCAGATTTATTATAAGTCATTTTTAAAACTATCATCGTAAGTCATATAAGAGAGTTAATTAGAGGAGTTATGCTGCATAAACCTGAGATAAACGAGGGTCTAAAGACGGGAGAAAGCTAGCTGCTGGATTTATGACTCCAACTGGTACAGTAGCAACTGGTGGAGTTATAATTGCGTTGTTTATATTAGCAGTAACAGGAGTATTGATCACTGCAGAAGATTGCAAACCAAACAAGAATCATAAGTGTAGGAAAAAAACAGAGCACTTACATCATCAACAACCAAAACTCTTCTTCTTCTTAAAAATCTCCCTTTTCCTTGAAGGTTGGAGACAACTTTGATTGCAGTATCCAAAACAGATTTGACATTCTAACAAAACCAACATTATGACAAGAAATCATACACCTCAAACAATACCTCGGAATTTGCATGTTAAGGAAAGTAAGCAGTTGAGCCAATCTGATGGCCCACAAGCAGATTATGTAAATCATAAAACGTGGGAGTTTGAATACCTCATTTCTCCAACACTTCCATCATCATATTTAGCTAATTACAATGAACTATCACTCTGAACCGAACATAAAATCAAAATTACTATCTAGATAAAAATATCTAAATTGTCATACATCAAAATATTATATTACTATCTAGAGCCGAACATAAAATCAAAATTCTTATAATATTTCAAAACAAAACATCGTGTCCCTTTTAAGCATCAATGATCACCTAATTTCTCTTTTGCACTTCATAGCCACCATCTTGACTTGGATATCCAACTCTTATTCATTTTAAAATTCAACTGCAATGTTTAACCATTGAAAACAATCAAGAAACCATTGACAATAAATACAAGTCATCATACCAAGTTAAATTTTAACAACTAAATGCTATTAATAGCTATCTTGAATTTACAATACTCAACAGGTGCATTTGATTTTTGCTTAACCAAATAACAAAAACCAAAAAATACCAAATTATTGGATACTTAAAAATTGCAATTGAGGGAAGTTTATGAGGGGACATAATTGAGGGATTTTAGGGCCTGTGGTTTTTTCTTGTTTTAGAAAACTCTGAGATGATATTGAGATTCCTAGTTGGTTAATTAACTTGAATAATGCTTTACGTAATTGCATGCTTGATTATTGGTTAGAGAGCACCTTTAATTCCTTCCACGTAAACTTGATAAATATTTAGCTTGGAAATATAACTAATTCTTATGATTTTAATAACAATACCTTAGATAAATAAGAGAAAATTTTTTATGTCATATATTCCGATACAAAATAGATAATTATATATGATTAGCATCAAAAATTTTGAATTTGTATTAGAAATATCCTCTCATTCAAGTTTTTAAACTAAACTAATCATGCAATAACTTACCCCTCTCCTTAACGTTTGGAATTAGGTAAGACCAAATTCAAATCACCAAGTAAAAATAAATCAAGAAGAAGAACTAAAAATGCAGGTTATTACAGGATAAAAAAAATAACAAGAAGAATAGCAAACAAAATAAAATAACAAACTAATATAAATCTTACCCAATGTTTGCTTAATTTTAGGTATGATTCAAGAAGTAAAAGGTGAAGAAGAGAGCGGCGAACGACAGAACGGCGAAGTTCTGTTAGAAGGGAAGCAGATGCGTCGGCGTTGGTGTCGGTGTCGGCGTCGGCTTCATTGTCAACGTCCGATATGGGCTCTCGGAGGAGATCGCGAGAGGTCTAGACGACGTACAGAATGAGCTAGGGATTCAACGTCGGCTTTGGCTTGGGCGTCAGCGTCGCCGTCGTCCACGGTTGGGGAGGAGGCGGCTAGGAAGGAGGCAGATCGTGCTCGGAGGAAATCGCTAGAGAGATGTCGCACTTGGAGGAGATCGCTACAGAAATGTCGCACTTGGAGAGCGAGAGGTCGGGACGAGGCATTGAGGGGCTAGGGCTTATTTCGCAATCGCGTTCCGATTTTTGGCGCCTTATTTTTCATTTGGCGCGAATTAATAACATAAAAGAGCCGTTTTACTATAGCAGCAGTATTTTAATTTGCTGCTACATAAATGCTGCGGAAATCATTTATTTTTAATAGTATGAACTAAAATTAATTTAAATTATATTTATTAGGGCAAATGTTGCCTGTGTTTGTTTGTGCACTCCTGCAGGTTATTTATGAAGCTAATTTTCATGCTAATAGAAAACATATTATTTTTAATTTTTTTTTTACAGAAAACTAAAATTGAAATAGTAATTAATTGTAAAATTTTAACCAAAAATAATAATATTTAATAGAAAGCATTAACGGAAATAATTTGTAACAGAAAATAATAATATTGCCCATTTGTAGGCTTACTTACAAACATATTTATCTTATTAAAAAATAATACTATGTTAAAACATTTACATATTTTATTATGTATTTATTTAATAAACTGAATGTTATAATTATTTCTTTTCAACAATATATTTTCATTTATGTTTCTCACAATTGCAAATTAAATGTAATGAGTAAGATACTTAACAGCTTCTAACCTCATTAAATCTAATGAGCTTCATAATTATCGCCATCACTCAAAAGGAATAAATGATTTAAAAGTTCTAATAATGAGGCAAAAATTTTGGTCATCACTCAAATGAATATAATTGGAGCATTGGCGAAGCCAAATGACATTAACAAATATCCGTATAACTTTAATAGAAGATCTTTTTTAATTCATATCTATCTCACAAATAATGCCATATGAGTTATTATTATTATTATTATTTTGAGAGAATTAAGGGACAGCGCCCAGACTTGCACACACAATACATACGTATGACTCAAACCGAAGATTGCTTAGTTAGTAGTCAAAAAACCCAACCGACAAACCAAGGAGAGCGGCATAGATGAATTAGTTTAAATTCTCTATATTGAAATCTATTACAAAAATATATAATCACCTATCTTAAATTAAATTAGGTAAAATTATCAATAAGATTGATTTAAATTAGATTAATCAAATCTTCATAAAAGGCTATAATTAAGTAGCTAACTAAGAACCAATCATTGTTGGTAAATTAGAAGGCTTTAGTTAAGGCTTTTTCAACCCTTACAACTGCAATGTTGAGCTACCCTAATGATTTAGAACTTATTCGCTGAGAGGTATAAAAGTTTGATTCTATCATTTTGACACATAATTGGGCCCCAAATCATGAATAATTTAAGTTTTAATTGCCTTTTTTTAATGTTCATCATGACAAGTTTAGGATTTCATAAGGAGTGGATGATCAACATCCTTTATACTCTTGTATGATAGTCAATTAATTATGGATGCTAAATTTGTACCAACATATATTAGGAGTAGAAATCGTCATTTGCAAGTACCAAGAAACACTAACATAGAGCAACTTATGTTTAGGGGGCTCAAAGTATTTAAGTACTATGCGTCCATGAATATATTGAACATTGTTTATCGTCCTATGATCGAGAATGATTTCATTGCATCCCAAAAGTTGAAGATGATGATGTCTATGAAGTTGTGTTATCTTAAGTTGCCAGATAATTTCTTATTATGTATGTGGAAGTTGAAGAGAATGGCGTTGGAATGAGTATTGTTGAAAATCTGGCCTCCCAAATCCAAGAATCATTTAGCTTAGATGATGGGTTAGAGACGCATGATGGTGATTCTAGCCAATTTCTAGTGGATGAGCCATATGTTTGATAAGTTGCCCATTAAGTAGATTATTAACCAACTTAGCCCTCTTAGTTCATGTATTGATCTTTAACTAAACATACGTGAGTCGGATGCAGTGTTTGCAAAATCAATGTGATTGAATGCTTTAGCTAGGTCAGTTGACATAATCATCTCGTGCAAACATGTTGGGGGCTATTAAGTGTAGAGCCTCCATGCTTGCTGTCGATAAAGGTTATGAAAATATGAGCATGGGATCAAGCGAGCAAGCTAGTGAGAGTGATCATGACTTATTGTTTGATTTAAATTAAGTACATGTAGACGATTATGATGATATTCATAATGTTAGTCAAATTATTGTTGTAGGACTATTGATATTGAATAATATAATGACTGCTAATATAGACTAGGTAGAAATATGTCAAACAATCTATTAGTGGGATAAGAAAATTTCATTTGATATTTGTTGTGGTGTCAACCTAACAGATCAAGAATTTTCAATTCTAGCTGAATTGATTGAAGTGATGTGCTTCACTTGAAAATCAAACTTGTTGTTTGCTTTACAAGGTTGGACCATTCAAAATAATGTTTAGTTCGTTGTTGTACGGAACAAGCATAAATTCACACTGTTTGTGTACAGCATGAAAGCTTGGCCAAACCTTATTTATTGTGTTTGCATAAAGGTTTAATCAAGCATTTAGGATCCCACATGTCTCTTCCCACACCAAATATATTATAAGGTGGCTTTTGCTTTGATAATCTTGATGGCCTTTTTCTTACTACTTTCACCTATTTTCTTATAGCTTTACCAAGATTGTTTTGCCAATTTAGCAATGATCATATGAGCGACCAAGTTAGGCACTATGTCATATTCTTAGATGTTACTAAAAAAGACTTCAGTATCGGTTGAAGACTTCTTTCCTCTTTCTTTTGAATCCATGCCATTTGTTTGATAAATAATAAATCTCAAACATACAAAAAAATTTAAAATAAAACAAATCGATAAACATATTTTAATCAATAAATAATGAAATCACTAAAACAACTTTAGTTACAAGTAAATTCTTCCACTAATCATTGCTCTTATATCACATTTGTCACGCCCCGATATCTAAATTAGAAGAATTTCATTTATTTTCTTATGTTTAATTAACACCAATATTTATTTACAACTAGATCATCATAAATCATTTAATTGACAACTAGAGCTGACTAATTTTATTTAAAATAATATAAACAATAAAACGTAAATTTTCATTACTATAAAATTAGTAATTATTTGCATTATATTATAAGGTCCAAAATGTAAAATTTATACAATAGTCATTTACGAGCTACAAAAAATATAGAAAGTCTTCAGATGACCCCTCACCACTTCCTTACCCACTCAAAGAATTTAGGACTCAGAGCCAGAGATACATATAAGCTTGTAATGTCATGCTTAACTCATCATCACTCAAAAGTACATTAATGAAGTGCTACAATAATTTGTCCTTCTCGATCTATTAGGCTTTCTTTAGGAGCACAAATCTAAGGGATTGAGATGTTGTCCTCTAACAAAGATCACAACAATATCATTTCTATATATGGTGTGATATATACCATTAATACAATCAAGCTTTATTTGCCTTTAAACATGTTGGTGACTTGTTAAGAAAGATGCTAAATATGGGCTATCATATACGTACCACCCAATTAAAAGATTACTATTTTTTAACATAGTAATAATTAAAATCGCTCTCACATCTAAAAAAAATTGTTCTTGTTTCTGAAGAACTTGCTGAAGCTTTGATGACCTACAAGAATAAGAAAATCAGAAGCAGAAAGCATAAAAATAGAAGAAGATACGTTTCTTTTGTTAGAACAGAATAGTGGAGCAGAAATTCTAATTCTTTTCTCTATATATTTTCATTTTCCTTTTACATTGCATATATGAAGCTAGGGATGATAAGAATGGCCAGATCAAATTTTGTTATGCTTCAATGGTGAGGATTGAAGCTGTACAAGCAATAGACTGCTGCTAACAGAGAAGTGGCTAAAGATAATCAAAGTTGGGCAGTTGTGACAATATAAGTTATACTACCTATCACTTTGACTAATCAGTTTCATCATGAATTTTGTAGCTACTATGTCTTACTGTATGATTGATTTTGAATGTAGTTTTTTTTTAATTAAAAATGCATTAACAATAATAGCTAAAACCATTGTTAAAGGAACCATTAGTAATGACTTCTAAATCATTAATATAGAGATTGAATTTAGTAGCCAATGGTTGGATTTTGATAAAATAAAAACATGAAATGCTTAAATAACCAATAGTTTCTGATGTAGGGAGATCGACATAAAGGAGATCAAAAGAGCAAAATAGCTCAAAGAATCAAACAGTGAAAATACTGTATTTTTAAAAAATATTTCATATGTATCATCCTAATTCCTAATTACATTAATAACTTATAAATATAAATACTATAGAAGATTCTAAAAAGTTCTAGAAAGAAGGAACCAAAGCTAAAAAAGAATATATTATTTCTATGGCATCATAATCCTAAGATGCACCACATCACTTTCGTTTTGATTTCCTTCAATTTTTTTTTTTTAAAGAAAATGTATAATGGAAGGTCACTATTGTGAGAGCTATCAATTGCAATTATCAGACAAAATATTAATAGATATGTGACTTAATTGGTATCTCTCACATAATTTGCGCTAATAAGAACTCAAATCACGATACATTTGTAAATTTAAGGCTACCTTTATAAATTTTCATTTTTTTATCATTAATTTACTAGTCATAATTAATCATCGATGACTAAGGATTCATTAGGGACAAATTTTATATTGCTTCGTTTTTCCAGATTATAACTATAATTTTTATTTAATCTTACTTTTTCGTTGTTTTAAAAAAAATAGTACAAAAAAAATATTTTCTACAATATCTTTAAAAAATTACTTTCTTTATAACAATTTTATAAAATATTAAAAAAATCGTCCCAACTGAATTATTTTTTCATTGATTCCAAAAATTTTATACTAAAAAATTATCTTAAAAATAATTAAAAAATTACTCCAAATGAAGCCCAGCTTTCACATATGACAAGAAAGAAAACAATCTCATTTAGCCTCTTCTACCTGGCAAATTATTGCATCAAGTCACCTGACAGAGAGATGCGTTCGGTCTCTCTCTGTCTACAGTAACCTGAGTGCTACAGTAAAGCGCAGATTACTGTAGACAGAGAGAGACCGAACGCATCTCTGCGTTCGGTCACCTGACGCAATAATTTGCCCTTCCAAAGAGAAGTCGGGACTTCTGTACCTGAAATAGGCAAAATCAGGATTGTACTCTTGAGATGCAATTGGATTACTCGTAAATGGTGACTTTAGGGGTTGTTTGGTAGAAAAATTATTAGGTGCGGATTGTACATCTTTTTTATAAGTACTGGATATTTAGAGGTATTCATCGGTATTCAGAGGTATCAAATGCGGGTACCGCTAGGTACTCAATATTTGTGCAGACGGTTCTTCCCGTCCACACTCCGTACCTAATAATCTCTCTGTTTGGTATTAGATTGAATTTAATTTTAGTGAAATTTAGAAAATCATGTAAATTTGGATTTTGTAAATTTTGAGGCTATTAAATTCAGAAATTTTTTTGGTATAATGAATATTAAATTTTATGAAATCCTGATAAACTATTTGACAACATATTTTGAGATTTATAAAAGTTAGAGATTTCAATTTGGACACATGTCGAATATGTCTACTATAAAAGCTATATACTTATTGAGAGATTTTATAGAGAAGTATAGAAAGAATAATGAGGATCTATATATGATATTTATTAATTTACATAAAGCATATGATAAAATTCTAAGGGAAGTACTATGGACAGTTCTAGAAAAGAAATAGATTAACAATGCTTATATTCAAGTCATTAATGATGAGTTGTTACTTGTGTTCAAATTCATGGTGGTTTGGCCAAGTATTTTTCTATTTCAGTTGGATTATATCAAGGATCGGCTTTAAGGCCATATCTTTTTGCATTAGTCATGGATGTTTCACTAGACATTTGCAAAAGGTTGTACCTTGGTGTATGTTTTTTTATGATAATATTCTTTTTGTTGAAAAGATTAGAGAGTGAGTCGAAGGTAAACTTGAATTATGAAGGTCAATCTTAGAGTCTAAGGGGGGGGGGGG